ATCACGCTAATCACACTATTCCTGTCCAATCAAGATTTTAAATATTTACACTTCGATTAATCATCGAAATATTTTTTTGCTCTTCGCATGTTTATTTGAAAACGCTATATACACGCACTCTTAACAAAAACAAATTATTACAAAAAATATTAAATTGCACTTACGCCACAGATGTAATACATGCACAGCACAATACATTATAGGTTTCGAAGTAATTTTAGTTTTAAAATTATTTCAATGGATTTCCGCAATATAATATTAAATTTAATAAATAATCACAGCTATTAGAGATGTACTGAATAATGGTTTCACCGAATACCCGAATATTATTCGTTTTATCTTTTACCGAACTTAATTTTCTATTATATATATCTAATTTATATTAGCTTTATTTATATACAGAATTTCTTTGACTAATAAAATATAACATAAATCTTAGAGAGGAAATTTCGTCTCTTAGTACTATACCGTGTCATGTAGCTAAGAAAATAGAAACCATATATATTTTCGGCACCAAAACCAAATAATTCGAGCGAATACAAACACTGAAAAAAATGCCGAATACCGAATACCAAATTAATATACGGCGTGTCTCTAATAGCTATTCTCTAGAATTAGCTTATCCAAAGTGCACTAGACGTGCAAAACAACGCCGCAGGCTCCGTAAAGCATATTATGATGGGTTTCCACGAAAATAATGGCTATATATTGGTAAATGAAGTTTAAATTAAATATGTGTGTAATTATTATATTTGATTAATTTTGTATTCACAATGTTATACTGAAAAATACTTAAAAAATCCACTTTGTCCCTGGCACTCTGAGATGGGAATCGAACCCACGACCTTTTGCAATCCGAGTCGTGGGTCGGTTTCATTAAAAATATTTCAATATTTGTGTAATATTAATAAACGTTAAAATAAGGGTGTTGTATTTCGGGCTACGTGTAAATATTAAATTTCCAAAAGAGGTTTTCTCGCCAAATAGTTCGAAAATCCCTGATCTAGAAACTTTAAAATTACTTTAACCTTTTCTTTAGTGAACATATGTGAGGAAAGGGAGCTCGGTAATTGCTGTCGCAGCTTGTACCCAAGGCCTACGGGTAATTGCGAACGAGTTGATGGGTGAGAAAACAATTTGTTACCGACACCTACTATTAATTTAGGGAGCCTTGATACAATACCGATGAACTTTATATGATTACACAAAGGATGGTTTTATATTTGTCGTTTTCAATAATTTATCAGGCGTCTGTCTGTCTGATTCGAGATATAATGTTGTAAATTAAACCCTCAGGCTTACAGTCTCTTGGAGCGGCGAAAACTTAAAACTTCTAAATTAAAGTAAAACGATACGGCTGTTCATGTCCCAAATTTTGACATTTGATAGGGTACTCTGATGGTGGAAGTAGCTCATGGTTGCAGAATAAAATCGCCGGTAAAATTCTTCCAACATTCGAGTTTATTACTAATTAATCTTATTATTTTCTATAATACAGCTCGGAGCCGGTTGCCATATGAAAAAAAGATCAACCAGCAAAACATTTTTATTATAGTAGTATTCATATGCTGAAATATCACTTCAAAAACGAACTATCGGTGAGAGCAATCGATAAATACACAAGCTCGCTATAAATTGAAAGCTGAAATATAATCGTATTATAAATGTTTCTCTCACCTTTTCAACTATATGAATTCTATTTAAATATCCATTTCATGTCTAAAATAAATCTATTTCACTCGAATTTCATATTTCTACCGCTATATAAAAATACCTATTTATGTTAGATTTATTTTTAAATCAATACTTAAACTACATTAGAGCGTTATCAAAACTCGTATTTTGAAAAACAATATACATATATATTGTTTGTATCGTCAAAATTATACGGGTATCGGTCATAATTATAATTAATTATTACTTTAGCTACATTATATTAGAGCGTGTGGGTTATTAACATTAATTTAAATGACACTGAAAAGATTACATCATAAATACAAAATATTTTTAGTTTTATTTATAGTTAATTAATAATTTTAGTAGTTGCTTAGTTTATTTAGGTGTAGACCCGGGTCTACTATAACATCTCTAAATACAATCGATGCTTAACTTCTAATATTTTATAAATACAGTTTTAGATAACTTTGGAGAGACTTTTAAACTCTATACTGTAGCAATAGAGTGTAGACAACTTTTATATATTTTAATTTAAATAGCATAAAATAAAAATATCATTCTTATAATAAGTTAAAATTTAAAAATCGATTGAATTTTCAAAATTTCCCAAAAAAGAACCACCTCTGTCATGGTCTCGCTATGTCGTCACGGCACTCTGAAACGAATGTCGTTCTATATATGCTTAAGGTTGAATTCTCTAAGTTCTGTTCTAAATGTAAAATATTTTAATTAATAATAAAAATATTTTCAACTTTAAACAACGTCTTAGTCTATATTCAAGATCTGATCAATCTTATGTTTTTTGATCTGATCAGAGAGAAAAAAAAATTATTGCTTCGTGCTTTACACAATACGCTATTATTTTCTCTCTCTTCACACAGACAAACTTCTCGAGTTCGTCTTTTTTGTCAGCTTTATGTGCAGATTTGTTCGTGTTTAGATTATGGAATCCAATTTACTTAAGCATATTAGCTTTATTTAGCATTTCACATTCTACTGAAGAATCATTGAACTGTCAAATTCAAATATGGACTCTATCTGTGAAGGTTTGTCAGACCCTATTAAAAGAAAATAGGATGGTGTTTACGACGACAAATTCATCGATATTTTTAAATACAGTGCACGAATTGGAACTTAGTTTGACTTGGAGTCTTACTTGTTCTGAAAAAAATGCGAAACCTTACTTTGATTATTTACCTATAATTACAACCGGCTTATAATAATAAAGCATTTATTTTTTCAACACAAAATAGTATAAAACAAACAAGACAATAATGAACAGTAAAGTACAATATAGAAATTAAGTGTAATGTTGTGTGCTGTCAAAACTTATAATTATATTAAAATAATTTTGAGCAAATTATCTCTGTCTAGAGAACCAAGTATTAATCTCTTCGCGTTATAAATAAAAAAAAACACTTGACACTTGTAGAGTCGTATCAGCATTTTAAAAATATGTAAAATATCATTTGCAGAAAGTAAAAAACAGTACAATCCATGCTATATTATTCTGCTGAATCTCTTGCTAATGCATTAACAAGGATCGTAACGGAAAGAAGAGACGAAAATATGTCTTCGCGTGCTCGTTATGCGTGGTTTCTGTGCTTTGTTATTATTCTAAGGTCCGGAAAGAATCTCGAATTCGTCAATCGCAGTGCTGTCGCGTCAAAGAGTTTTATTCGAAAAAACCTTTTTTACCTTTGAAGAAGACTTTATTCGATAACCTCTCTAAGCTACAGAGCATTCTTCATAACAGCCAAAAGACGTCCTGAACGATTGCTAGGGAAAAAATGCAGGGCGATTCAAAGAGTTTATTACTTTGATTTTGACAACGTTGCGTACGTCGACGAATTTGAGTCTGTTTGTTATAACAAACTAGAACAGCTAATATCGTACTGTGAGTGCTGTCATTATTTTTTTGGTTATTATAAATACTCCATTCAAGTTATTTTTGCCACAGTTACAGTAGCAATATAAAATTTATTAAGCTAGATGTTTGTCAGTAATTCCGAAATTATTGAGAGCCTTGAATGTCGATTATTGCCCGGACATTGGAGGTCCAGATCGATTGGAGGCGTGGGTGGTATTTTGTTACTTTGAAAGCGGTAATATATTAGAAAATGTGTTCGTATGAGCCAGTGCCCATTTCAGGATGATAGGTGCTAAATTTATAAAAGATATTTAATGACTTTGTAATGTTCAAATATTAAGATGATAACAGAAAATTCTTAATCCAACATAATATGAATGAAAGTCGCTCTTTGTCTCTGTCCCGCTGCCCCTTTTCGATGGGATTGGTACGCACTACATTTTTGTCATACGAAAAATGTTTCCTAACGCAAGCAGTGTTATTTGGTAAAAGTATAACGTCAAATACAGCGCTGTTGCAGCGTTTAAAGCATTGTAAATTCGACTTCAGAAGATAATATAACTAGGTTTTATTTTATCAAATCTCTTATAGCAAAGCACAACTAATGATAAGCTCGACGCATCTTTCGTCAGATGTCACCGACCCTTAAATCGTTCAACGGACAACACGATTGTATAGGAAATTTCTCGACGAAGGTTTTATCGACCTCATCTTGGCAAGGTTAAAGTTAGGACGTTTAAAGAGGTTTCTGTCAATTTTGGACTAGCTTAGCGCACGCAGCGCACGTGTGGCCAACAAACAGAATTCTATCTTGTTGCAATCATATTAGCACAGTATTGGACTGTGAAGTCAAAACAAAGTACTATAGACTCATATTAATCGATCTGAAAACGACATGCATCTCATTTATCCACAATAGCTTGACCAGGCGTATCGTTTTAAGGAAATTCAAAATTATGAATAGCTCGTTTCCCGAGTCTATACGGAACAAAAAATCGATAAGACTTTTTTCAATTATAATGAAGATCTAAAGTAGCAGTCCATGACTTATAGACAACACCTGCTTTGTTATTTCTTGTTGAACTTAGTTTATTGTTACCTACCTAGTAAAAAGTTTTAGATTCGAGCCAGGGCTGACCTCCGAACTTCAGCCAATATAACTTTGACAGTTCGTAACAATATTATTAGTAGAACCACTTTGAGTCACCGATTTAGGCTTGCGCTAACTTTAGAGATTAGCAGTCCTTAGTTTTTCTTGTTAACGAAAATAGAATAACTTTAGTTCTTGGCAACTTGTACTTAAATACTATCAGAAATGAAGGCGTCTTTAATGCGTTATTTCACTAAAAATAATAAATTAAATTCGCGGACTAACTACATAGTAATTATTATTGTATTATATATTATAATAAAGGTAACATTCCCAGGTGATCTGTTTGTGTTGGTCTTCGCGATGGACAGCCGGGAATCGTTCGAAGAGGTTATCAGACTTCGAGAGCAAATCTTGGAGACGAAGGCGAGTGCCACCAGCGGCGGGAGTCGTGGACGCCGGCAAGCACCTAGGGTGCCAATGGCAATAGCCGGCAACAAGTGCGATAGAGACCTTAAGTGAGTAAGAGAAACGGAATATACTTACATACCTAACTATAACACTTCCGAGGCCAAGGTCTCATACGCCGGTTTGAAGGTGGAGCCATCTCTAAGGTTGCGAGTGAGATTATACCTTAATTAACGTTTCTTTATCTTTCTTTCTTACGTTGTTGTGTTACATATGTTTTAGATTTCCATATGTTATTTTATGTTCTCATATTTTAAATAGAGGTTTTGTTACAACCGTGTTGTAGGCAGATACAAGCTCACAAAGGCAACTGTATAGCATGCCTTGCAGTTAATAAGTTTACGATGATAGTATGATTATGTACTTTGCACTATAAATACAGTGTTGTAGCGAGCCTGCAGTTGATATGCCAATTTTAAAATAGTAATATAACAACGTATCTTAATTTCCATTAATTTATACAACGCTCTTCCGATTTCGGCGGCATGTTAACATTTATAACCGGCGTTTAGTCTCCCTCGGATTCCGTCTTTTATGTTTAATAATTGCTTATTCAGTTAATTTAATTGGGTGTAACAAAACCTCTATTAAATTTTGAACATGGAAAATATGCTTCCATTTTCGTTATAATTATCACTATACTGACTATATCTATAATAAAATGACCATAGCCAGTACTTTAAATAAAAAATGATACACTTATAACTATATGTCATTATGATGGCATGACCGCCTCTGAAAGTTTGTTTGCAGAATATGTACTTATACTTATAGTAGACGCGATTCTTTTATCTCTATTTTGTAAAAATGAATTGTCGAAATGTATATACGTGCATAACTTCCGAACGACTGCACTAAATTGTATGATTCTTTTTTTATATCGTCCTTATTGTGAGAACAAGATTAGTATATATAAGAAAATTTATAATAAAATCCTCATATGCCCCTGGAGAAATAAAATATGGCAGCACAAAATTCGCCGCTTCACCTAGTCTGTACTAATATTATAAAGAGGAAAGATTTGCTTGTTTGTTTGCATAATAAACTTCGAAACTGCTGGACCGATTTTAAAATGATTTTACAATTAGAATCCTAGATTATCCCTGATGAATATGGCTATATAGTAGTTTCATAAAAAATGAGATCCGAGATTTTTTTCAATTTAATAGGACACCATCTGTATTTGATATAAAATTCCTTTTTAGGTCACCCATTCAGTACCCGAGCACCGCAATCTAGCACCATTGTAAACCAATGTGACGTTTTGCTACAACGAAATTCGATTTCAAGTTTATATGTAATACAAATGACAATTGCACATTCTTTTCAAAAACTAAATATTACGTACCACTTGTAAATAAATAAGTGTTATTTTATGATGACAGATTGTGGGTAAACAAAGATAAAAGCGTCGTAGAAAAAAATTAACTTTATTTTTTAATCAACGCCTCGATAATATTTGGTTACATAGCAAATAATTATTAAACGAGGTGAGATAGTACTCTACATAAATATTTTATCTGTTTTCTCTTACATTAATCAACTAAATTTTTAACGGTCACATTTATAATACACACATTGTATATGTAGCGGAATAAAACCAAAATACTCAACCTCTGCTTAACATTATAAAGAGGTTAAGTCTCTAACTTTGTTTGTTCATTTGTTTATTTATAAAGGGTGACATTGGCTATAATTTACGCGGCAGTCACGTTAAACTGTTAGTTACGCATAAAGTTTAAATAATTGCACAGTCGTTTTTTAAAAACATTACATAAAAGAACGTACGATTATGGATCAAATTTCTTTGAATTGTCAATGCACCTATATCTTATTAATAAAGAAAAAACTTCAACATTATTTAACATATTTATTTATTTATCATCAGCCCTTTTCCTTCCTCACTGGACCTTCTTTATGGATGGTTAAGGATAGCCCAATGCGGATACGGAACAACTGCAAATACAGCCAGGACCAACGGCTTAACATGCCTTCTGAAGTACGGTATATAATAATAATAAAAAAAATTTTTTTCATCATTCATCCCGTGACCGACCTTTGCGAAAATTGCTAAGTACAAATCGTTCGCGGGCCACGGCGCATATCCGTTACGCTACCGAACTACTATGCGGAACCGAACCGAACTACTATATAAACTACTATACTATACTAGACTACTATGCAAATCTGACACCTAAATGTTTAGGGATTGTCAATGGTGAAAATACGTTTCACCAATGACAAGAAGATACCTAACGACTTTGGGTAACGCTTAAAGTTACGACATGCATATTGCGGCGCCTAACGCTGGGCATTCTCGTAATGTATATTTATTATTAATATTAATATTTATTTATTCCTTGATCATAATCGATGTGTCAAGGGATAAAATCAATTTAATAAGTTGGAATCAAGGAGTTTTTATCTATACTAATATTATAAAGAGGAAAACTTTGTATGTTTGTTTAATTGCAATGTGATAGCTAGTGGGGATGAGGACTGTAAATTAAAACTAATGGATGTATGATAAAATATAATAATAATAAATCACAAATCACAGCAAACGACAATATCCAACAACAGCAAACAAAGAGTAAGTAAAAGAACAATATAAAAAATATGACATAAACTAAATCAAAAGGGATGGCGCTTTCCAGCCAGTCGCCTACATTCCCGCCCCCAGTGGAACACTAACTCTCGGTGGCGACTGACTGGGGCACCATCAGAACTAATTTACGAGCCGGGCGGCGTAGTGTACCTCCCTTTGTGAGAAGGTCCACCACGCGTACTCGACCATCTGGGCCAGTGAATACTTTTGTGACCCTACCTAAAGGCCATAATCCTCGTGGTAAGGTAGGGTCGGCTACAATAACCACGTCCCCCTCTTTGAAGTTTATAGAGTCCCTACGGCGTCCTCTTGGGCAAAGTGTGGGTAAATATTCCTTTATCCACCGTGCCCAAAAATGGTCAGCCAGTCGTAGAACTTTGCGCCAGTCGCATGGCCGCAGCAGATCTGCATCGCTGAGGTTAGTGGTCCATGGTGCGACTGACGATGTTCCGATCAAGAAGTGGAAGGGTGTTAATGATTCTGGTGCTTCAGATGAGGAAGGTACGTACGTAAGAGGTCTAGAGTTCACGATGGCCTCGGCTTCCGCAAGAAGTGTTGCAAATATGTCTTCTCTGGGGTGACGTTTATCTTTGAGGCAGGCCTGGAGCGCGTTTTTGACTGTACGTACTAGTCGTTCCCAGGACCCACCCATAAAGGGGGAAGCAGGTGGAATAAAGCGCCAGATAATTTTGTGGTTGGCAGCAAACTCCGTTATCGAGCCGTCAAATAGGGATCTTAATTCTCGGCTGGCTCCCACGAAATTAGTGCCATTATCGGAGAATAGCTGTGCTGGCGACCCTCTGCGCGCAATAAATCGTCGGAGGCTCATGAGTGCGGCGTCTGAAGAGAGAGATGAAACAATTTCTAGGTGTATGGCTCTGGTAACTAGGCAAGTGTATAAAGCCACATATCGTTTTTCTTGGCGACGTCCGACGGTTACGATGAATGGTCCAAAATAATCGAGTCCCGTGTACGTGAATGGCCTCTTGTGATGATCTAGTCTTTCTATAGGTAAATCTCCAGTTTGAGGTGTGCTTAATCGGCTTTTAAATCTGCGACAGTGCATGCAAGAGGTTGCTACAACATTTTTGATGGTGCTTCTGGCTTTCAGGATCCAAAATCTCTGACGAATTTCATTTAATACCGTTTCGTTGAAACCGTGTGCTAGTTTTTCGTGGTATGAAAGTATTAAAAGTCGGACAATCTGGTGGTGGCCATCGAGAATTAGAGGAGACTTTATATCACCATCAACAGCTGGTGTAGATTTTATGCGTGTGTCGAGCTTGAGGAGGCCATCGTCGTCTAAGATCGGTGCAAGTGACGCAATCCTACTATTTTTGGGCACGGTTTGCGAAGCTTGAAGGCTCTTGATCTCCTCAGAAAAGCTGTCTATTTGAGACTGCCGTAAGAGAATCTTCTCGGCTGATTGCAGGTCCGCACCATATAGAGAGGAGGACGTGGCGCTAGCTTGATACTCTATAGGGACAAAAAGTATAGAATTAATATCCACAGGCCGAGATGTTTTGGAGCGGAAAACACGAGCACAATAGAGAACGCGGGCGGTTGTTCGTAAAAGTCGCAACCAATTGCTAAATCGCGTTATGTTTGGTATAGGCAAATTTAACATAGGAACGTCAATAACGAGCCTAACTAGTTCAGATTTAAGTTCTGGATCTATTTTGTTTTCTACTTGGTTAAAGCTCATTTCAGAGGGCCAATCATTCTTAGGTTTAAGTAAGAACGGTGGTCCCGAAAACCATCTATTTGAAGTATCCATTCTTTTCAACTTAGGTTTGGTGGCATCGTCAGCCACGTTGAGAAAGGTAGGGATCCATTTCCAGCTAGAAGGATCGGAAATATCCATTATCTCTCCCAAGCGGTGGGCAACGAAAGGCTTGTAATCGCGTGCGTCACTCCGAATCCATTTAAGAACGGTTAGAGAGTCCGTCCAATAAATGGTTTCGCAGGGTTGGATTCGGTGGGCGTCTTTGATAGTCTGAGCAAAACGAGCAGCCATAAGCGCAGCTTGGAGTTCTAAACGCGGGATGGACACGGGTTTCAAAGGTGCGACTCGTGCCTTACTCCCTATTAGGCCAACCGAAATATCGCCATTAACATACGTTATGCGCCAGTAGGCAACACACGCATATGCTTGTTCGCCGCCGTCAGCTAAAACATGGAGTTGAATGTTAGTATATTCTAGACTGGACATATACCACCGCGGGATTTTTACAGAAGTGGCATCTTTTAAATATTGAAACCAAGAACTACATTCAATGACGTATTTCTCGGGTAATGGGGAGTCCCAATCAATACCTTCACGCCAAATTCTCTGTGTAAGAATACGTCCCCAAATTGTGATAGGCATAAGAAAACCTAAAGGATCATATAGCTGCATAACTTTTGACAATACGATACGTTTAG